AGAAGAAGAAGAAGAAGAAGAAGAAGAAGGAGAAGGAGAAGGAGAAGGAGAAAGAGGAGGAGGAGGAGGAGGAGGAGGAGGGAGGGGGAGGAGGGAGGATTGAAAGTTCACAGATCTGGCGGATGGGAGAAAGAAAAAGAAGAAAAGAGCAACTAAGGAAGAAGAGGAGGAAGGGGGGAGGGAGAGAGAAGATTGAAATGGTAGAGAAGGGTATTTTTGGAAGAGTGTGGTTTAAAATTAGAAAGGTAAACTTTATTTTCGGACGGAGAAAAAGGAAAAACGTAAACTTTTTTTCCGGACGGAGAGAGTAACTTATAATGTGTTTATATAAGGGGGTGTTTAACTGATAAGCTATTTAGAAATATTTAAATAAAATGCTATCATTTGTTATATACTGGCATGTACTAATCTTTATTCCATTTTATATACGGAGTATATTTTTAAAAATACGCCACAGCTTGCAAAATCAAAGTACATGGAGATCATTGGTCATTACTTCCTCTGGAGTGTTTTTCAAGTTTTGACTTGTTGAACTCAATTTTAATCAACCATTGAAGGCTTTGATATTGAATCAAATAAGAATTATATGGTATATCGATTAGATATGGAATAGAACAATAATTTAAAAATATTATGCAACATGAATGTGATAATTTTTTTGTATCAATATCTAATAGCAATTTTATTTAATTTATAGTCAAATTTTGTCAATTTTGGTTGTAAAAAAAATCAAAATTGGACAAATTTAATTTTTTAATATTTATGTATTACCTTCGGCTAGCAATTTGTACTAAGTTGTTGATGTTGTCTAGACGTACTTTTCTGGAATCATTCTATTCTTAAAAGCAGGGAAAAAATGCACCAGCGTTTTCCCGCCCAAATGCAAAGCAATCTTAACCGTTGATTCTTAGAAAAAATGAGATCTACTGATGATATATAATCCAGTGTTTTAAGATCGAATAAGGAAAGTTATTTCTCTTGGTACCACTAATAAAGAAAAAGGTAAAGAATCAACAAACATGGAAATATCGGACCAAAATAAATATGTAATCCACCGTTGTATACAAAATTAAAAAGGAAAGAAGAAATTGTATTTTTTATGGCAACATTTTTAAAAAGTAAAGAATTAACAAACAAGGAAAGAAGAAACCTTTTTTTCATGAGAACGTTTTAAAAAAAAGTAACAAATTAACAAACAATGAAATATATATAGGACCGATGCTATTGTTATTATTTTTAAATTATTATTATTCTTCTTATTATTGTTATTATAATTTATATTATTATTATTATTATTTAATAATCGTGATTAAGTAGGGACATGATAAATATTTAAAACCATGTTTTTATGAGAAAAAGTAACAAATTAACAAACAATGAAATATATATAGGACCGATGATATTATTATTATTATTATTATTTAGAAAAAGCAAAGGAAATTATTTTTAAATAATAGTATGTTTTTAATGTGAACAAAATTAAAAAGGAAAGACGAAATCGTATTTTTTAATGGGAATAGATCAAAAAATATAGGATCGATGCTGCTATTGCTCTTGTTGTTATTGTTATTCTTTAAAATCATGATTATTTTAGCACATGAAAAATATTCTTTTTAAAAAAGAAAAAGAAATTATTTGTAAACAAGAGTGAATTAACAAAAAACAAAATATCAGACCGATGATATTATTAGTGTTATTATTCTTCTTTAAAAAAGAAGGAAATTATTTTTAAACTAGAGTGTGTCTTTAATGTAAAAAAAATTAAAAAATAAAGAAATAAGCATTTTTATGGTAACAGATTAAAAAAGTAAAGAATTAACAAGCAATGAATTATAGGACCGATGCTATTATTATTATTCTTTAAAATTGTGATTACTTTAGTACATAAAATATATTTAAAAATATATTTTTTAATGAGAAATCATTAAAAATAGTAAAGAATTAACAAAAAAGAAATATAAGACAACTCAGACAGTGCTTCTTTATTACTTTGGGATAAAAAATGTGTGAACCTTTTCGGTATGCAAGCTAGCATGATGAAAATCTTGGTCTACGAGGTATTGAAATTCTAATAAAATGTTTTTAATTGATATTTTCAAAAAGATTGTTGCTTGACTTAATGTAATAATTTATATCCATGGATAATATAACGACATGATGACCCAAGAAAGATTCCAAAGGAGATTATCGGAATAATTCATGAGAATGCTCTATTCAATGTATTTGTAAAGGGAGATATCGAGAATTAGTCTGATTATGTTAGGAATAATTCATATGGAATGTATGACCTTATTTGAGATAAGTCAATTATCTCAAAGTATGAAACTATTGAAGCGGACGATTACTTTGACCAAATGTGTAAGGAACATGTCAGATTATTATAATAGAAACCGGTCTTTAGTCATGGACAATCATATGTTACGATTTCAAAAATAACAAATTGTAATAGCTTGAAGATTCTTATTGATGATGCAGAGCGTGTTTCCACAAAATGTTTTACATAAACAAAAAACATTATATTTCATTATATGGTGTACTTATTTACTTTTATAATAATGCCAACATAAATTTATAACGTTAATACAAATCGTGCAGCGCACGGGTGTGATACTAGTTCTATTAGATTGTTATTGTTTCTTCAGCCAACAAATTAGATAACAATTAGTTATCTAATCGTATTTTTTTTTTTGAAATCCATTACTGCATTAGCACCTAAAATTGTCTAAAATTGATTGTTGAATTGTGTATTTGTGTAAAAATGTTTTGGATTTTAACTTGATCATTGTTTGTTTTTATTTTTTATGCAACATATTTCAGATTTCATAAGTAAAAATAACAGTTGTAATTACTATAGAAATCTTTATTTTAAATATGATTTATAACTTAATTGTTATCTATACTAATTATTTTTATTTTTAGAAAAATAATATTTCATCTGTCCCAATTTAAATCAACTATTTTGGTTTACAATATTTAATTGAAGTTATTTTCAATACATTTTATTTAAGAGCTGGGATCAAATTAAGAAATAAATTTTGTATATTTAAAAAGTATATCAAAAGTTTTTCGAAACAAAAACTGAGATGATGATATTCTTTTATAAAATAATTATTAAAAATATGGGAACAAGTGGCCCAAGTTAAAATGCTAGTTAACAAGAAAACAAAAATTTAATAAATAATGATTTATTTGATAAAACAAAAGTTTTAAGTCAAAAAAGAAAATTAGGATGTTATTTGCGACGGTGGTAATATTTTCATTAATGAAATAAATACGGAGTATCATACTTTGTAAATTACATTGTTACTCTGTATGTTTTAAAAATATTAAATAATATTTGTAAGTGGAAAAAAATTGAAAACAAACATTTTATTGCCAAAAATTAAGAAAATCTTAGAAAAAATATATAATTACAAAAAATAGATTAAAAGGAATTGTGTCTGTTTAAATAGATTTAATGGCCTTTTTTAAACATTTTAAAGAGTTCAATAATACTACATTCAACCCTTAAAGAAGTTCCAAGTTCAAAAAATTTGATATTTTTAAAATGATTGTATTTACAAATTGGTATGTAACTAAAAAATGAAACTTACATACTCCGTATTTAAAAACTACACTAAAAGTTCAATAAAACAAAATTATCAATAAACCATAACTATAAAGAGGTAAATTATTTTTAAATGGAAAAAGTATTACGGAGTATTTAAAAAAGGAAGAGTCATTTTTTGAAAGCTTAAAAAAATTGGGGGTATTATTAAAAAAAAAAAAGAGTGACACTTTTTGACAAAAATAAATGAGTAGTGGAGTATTGGAGTGGCATTTCTATCCAAACCTTACAACAGAGAGAAATTAGAGCTATGGCAGAAGAAGCCAAGGCCAAAGGCAACGCCGCTTACGCCGCCGGCAACTTCACGGAGGCCATCAAACACTTCACGGAGGCGATCGACTTCGCGCCGACCAACCACATCCTGTACTCCAACAGGTCCGCCGCCTACGCTTCTCTGAACGAGTTCTCAGACGCCCTGGCCGACGCTCAGAAGACCGTCGTACTGAAGCCGGACTGGTCAAAGGGGTACTCCCGGCTCGGCGCTGCTCATCTCGGCCTTCACCAGCGCGATGAATCCATTGATGCTTACAGGAAGGGCTTAGATATCGACCCTGATAACGAGGCATTGAAACATGGACTCGCTGAAGCTCTATACTCTCAGGCGGCCCAACCTAGGGTTTCGTCTGATTTTCCGTTCGAAACTGCCTTGAAAGGCGAGCAGATGTGGATTAGGCTTGCCAGCAGCCCTAGTACCTGGGGATACTTGCAGCAGCCAGATTTTGTGAAGAAGATGCATGATATTCAGGAAAACTCTAGGAATGTGGGCGTCTATATGATGGACCCAAGAATAAGGGATGCCCTCACCCTGTTGTGGGGCGTAAAAGTGACAGCGGAAATTTCTATCAAGGGAGAAAAATCTCCAGTTGAAGCAGAGCAAGAGCCAGAACCCGAATTAGTGGAGCTCTCTGATGAGGAGAAGGAGACTAAAGATTCTGATGAGGAGAAGGAGTCTAAAGATTCTGATGAGGAGAAGGAGTCTAAAGATTCTGATGAGGACAAGGAGACTAAAGATGCTGGAAAGGGCCTTACCAGAGACGAATTTGCAGAAGGGTACATTAAGAAAGGTGCTGCAAAGATCTTAATGAATCGATATGAAGAAGCTTTAGAAGCTTATCAGGAAGGTTCGGTGCATGTCCCTGGGCACTCAGAATTACATGATTGCATTAGGAGGTACTTGGAGAAACGTCTTTCTCACTTTCTTGCCTATCTTGCATAAATTGTTCCTTATCGTATCTTAGAGTTTATGCATTCCTGAATTGCAGGTGCCTAGAAAAAATGAACAAGGTGGCTCTTGGGGATCTAACACCCGAAGACAAATCCAAGGCCAAAGGCAACTCCTCTTTCGCCGCGGGTAACTTTTCCGAGGCCATCGAACATTTCACTGAGGCGATAAACTTTGCACCGACCAACCACGTGCTGTACTCTAACCGGTCCGCTGCTTACGCTTCTCTGAATAAGTTCTCCGACGCCCTCGTCGACGCTCAGAAGACTGTCGAACTCAAGCCGGACTGGTCCAAGGGGTACCTCCGGCTCGGCGCTGCTCATCTTGGCCTTCACCAGCGTGATGAATCCATTGCTGCTTACGAGAAGGGTTTAGATATTGACCCAGATAATGAAGCATTGAAATATGCACTTGCTGAAGCTCAATACGATCAGGCAGCCCAACCTTGGGTTTCGCCTGATAATCCGTTCGAAGATGCCATTTCAGATCAGGAGATGTGGACTAGGCTTGCCAGCGACTCTAGTACCAGGGAATACTTGCAGAATCCCGATTTCGTGATGATGATGCAGGAGATTCATGGAAACCCTAGAAATTTGCACCTCTATGTGAAAGACCCAAGAGTAAGGGATGCTCTCATTGTGTTTTCGAGACCGATTGAAGCAGAGCCAGAGCCAGAACCAGTGGAGCTCTCTGAGGTGGAGACGGAGATTAAAGAGAGAAAAGCTGAAGCACAGAAGGAGAAGGAGGCTGGTAATGTGGCATATAAGAAGAGGGATTTTGAAACAGCGGTTCATCACTACAGTAAAGCCATGGAGATTGACGACCAGGACATTTCTTTCCTCACTAACAGGGCTGCTGTCTTTTTGGAGATGAGAAAGGTATGGATGCTTCTTCTATTTCCTTCTCTATTTACTGAGCTTGACGACGAATAATTCCTCCATTGACATTTCATTTCTGTATTGCTTAGGTGTTTCAAATTGCTTCTCAGAACTAAAGCATTTTTTAGAACTACTAAGGGCCTCTTCTTTTTGCCTTAATTGAGTATGGGGTTTGGATAACTGGAATCTAAAGTTTAAACCTAGCAGTAATGTTTGACACTAGCTAGAGCCATTTGTGTTTACGTCCACCCAAACACTTGCATTTTCCTTGTTTATTTATTGGAACAAAGGTGCTTTGAGAGCCGGTATCTGCCAGCATTTATATAAACATTGGTTAGTTTATCATTCAGCAGCAGTGAAACTTTGTCTGTTTATGGTGCATGAATAGATGTTAAATTAGTCCTTTATTCTTTCTTGGAGTATTATGGCACCTAGTCTTATTTGTTTAGTTATCGTAATGGGGTCTCAGTTAGCTTTATTAGAATAACTGTAGGTGGAGAGTGATGTATTTGGGTTTGGGTTATCACTTTCATTTTAAATCATGACTTTACCAATCCTAGATATTATCAAATTAATGGTTTAAAAGCTATTGAGATATATGCCTGAAGGTTTGATAGGAATGCTATCAAATTAACTTGTGGCTTCCACTTCTCTTTTCATAGATTGCATTCTTTTTTCTTGATGCATATGTGAGTCATATGAGGCTTTAACCTCTAAGTTTTTTGTACAAATGACTCATTTTTATGCAAAGTTGTCTTTTTATTTGTTTGTCCCATTGAAGGTTGCTTTGGCTAATGATTTGGAGAAATTAGGTGTTCGTTTGCTTTTTTCTTCTGTATTTGTAGAGGTGGGCTAATTTCATGTAAAACATTTGTTTATTTTTTGATTGCTGTTCCTTATAAGGATGAATAAGATAAGTAGATTTTTCTTTATGCCTCGACTTAGTTTTTCTTCTTTTCAAGGTTAGAGGATTCAGTAGCCTCAACATAATCTTCAATGACATGTTCACCCTTGATTTGCCACTGATGGGTTGACTGTATACGAATACTTGAATATTTTATAAATTTAAGAATTCATATATACATCTTAACCCAATCTGCCCCATTATTTGTGAGACATGAGTACAAAACAACAATAACACCAACAATCTCAGTAAAATTCCACAAAGTAGGGCCTGTAAAGTGTAGAAGGTGAGTGTAGCTGACCTTACCTCTACCCAGAGGGTAAAAGGTGGTTTCCAAGAGACCTCCAGCTCAAAACACAAACTTGAAGGGAATAAAATAAGTAAAGTAAACAAAAAGAGATGAAAAAGCATGTTACATTGGCTCATGATTTTTAAAGTTGAATTGTGTGTGCTATAAATTGGTTTGAGCCACAAGAATCATATCAAATATTGCATGCGAAAAAACTATCTAGATAGAACGAAATGGTAAAAGAGACAAAATAGTGACTGGTGACTGGTGAGACAGAGTTGTTATAATGGGCTACCACTAAGTTATACTCCCCCTGTCCCGAAATAGTCATCATGTTTTCCTTGTTTGAATGTCCCAATAAATTCCTACCATTAATTTTTTCTTAAACTCAGTGAAAGTCAAAACAAGGTGTTTATTTTGTGACAGAGGGAGTAGTTAACTACAAGCTTAATTTTCTGATATCATGTAATTGGAAGAACTATTATAATATTTTCATGAATTAAAGAGTTATATTTTACATGACTTCAGTATGGAGAGTGTATCAATGATTGTGACAAAGCTGTTGAACGGGGAAGAGAGCTCAGGTCTGACTGCAAGATGGTTGCAAGGGCTTTGACACGGAAGGGTACTGCTCTGACAAAGATGGCGACGTGTTCAAAGGACTACGACCCAGCGATTGAGACATACAATAAAGCTCTCAGTGAACATTATAACCCGGAGACACTGAAGAAGCTTAATGATGCTCGGAAGGCTAAAAAAAAATTGGAGCAGCAAGAGTATTTCAATCCGCAAATAGCAGATCAGGAGCTTGAAAAAGGTACTTGGTATTCAATTATTCATTCGCACAGGAAGTTCTTAGTGGTTTATGTTCTAGGAGTAGTATTATTGGGGAGTAACATTTTCTCAATTGTCTGTGATTCAGGTAACCAATTGTTCAAAGAGGAGAATTACTCTGATGCTGTTGGACACTACAGTGAGTCCATCAAAAGGAATCCAAGCAACCCTCTGGTATTTCCATGCTAGTCTCGGTTTTTTATGTCTTATTGATGAGACGGATATTTGTTGGGTTTGGTTATTGGTAGTGGCATATTTTTTTAGCCTTTATTTCCATTTTCCTTCATGGCATAGGCTTACAGCAATAGAGCAGCAAGCTACACTAAACTTGGGGCATTACATGAGGGGCTTAAAGATGCTGAAAAGTGCATTGAACTTGATCCCAAATTTGTTAAGGGGTACATTAGGAAAGGTGCTGTTCAGTTCTTCATGAATGAATATATGGAAGCTTTGGATACTTATCAGGAAGGTTTGAAGCACGACCCTGAAGACCCGGAATTACTGGATGACATTAGAAGGTACTTGGAGAAGGATGTAGAAACATCTCTGTCACTTTCTTGTCCCTCTTGCATAAATTGTTCATTATAGTATCTTACAGTTTGAGTATTCTTGTTTTGCAGATGTTGTGAACAAGTAAATAAGGCGTTTCATGGGGCTCAAACACCGGAAGAGCTGAAGGAAAAACAGGTTCAGTTTCTTTCTAGTGCTACCTTTACTAAAGTCAATGCGTTTTGAATGAGTGTATTGCAATTAACCAAACCAAACCAAACTAGAGGAACCCAGCACATCCCTCATGGGAGGCAAATGTACACAGACTTTACCCCTACCTCAACGAGTGGAGGCCGTGTTCTAATTGGCATGTAGTCCACAACAACAAACACAGTATTGTCCCAAGTCTGTTTGGGGGTGTAGGGTGTCAAGATCAAGATGCATGCAAGCTTATCCTCGTAAAAAACAAAGTGAATGGAAGACCTGGCAACCGGGTCATTTGGTTCTGGTCGGGTGAACTTCAGTTCTGAGTTAACTGGTTATGTTTTGGCTCAATGAGATTTGGGTCTCTTCGGGGTTGGTTTGAGTGACTTTTTAGCATGTGTGGTTTCAGGTCGCTTGATTTTTTGTGTTCCAAGCATGTGAAACAAATAACTTCCCGTAAAAAAGGTTCTGGGTTTTCATTTTTGGTCATCTTTGGTTTTAGTTCACTTCATGTTAATGTCTTTTCGGGTCAAGTTCAAATTTGTGTTTGGGTATTTTAGGTTGATCCCTTCGGGTCAGGTTACTTTTGCTGGGTCTAGTGGCAGGTAGGGTGATGAGTGGGAAAACACACACTTATCCGTTGATACATGACGGGAGCAGAAATAGTACCAACCCCCACGAGTAACTCTGGAACCCTAATAAGGTGATCCAGGAACCCTACAAGACGAATCTTGTATTATAGTAACGTTTACATAAAACCTATTGCAGGCCAAGGCAATGCAGGATCCAGAAATCCAGAGCATCCTTTCAGACCCCATCATGAGACAGGTGAAATCATACAAACATTCCCTTTGGGCAGAGGGTTTTTTATGCCATAAAAATCACCAAACTTTGATGCATACGAAAGTGGCGGTTGCTTATCTCAGAGTGCTTGCATAATCTGAACAGGTACTTAATGACTCCCGAGAACATTCGGCAGCAGCGGATGAACACTTTAGGAACCCTATTTTGAAGAACAAGTTCTATAAACTGCTCCTTGCCGGAATCGTTCAATTTGGATAAAAAAAATCAGATCCTTTCAGGCAAGTTCGTCGGACTGTATATGCTCCCAACGCGTGATGCGATGCGTCTAACTTGTAGTATGATTTCTCTGCTTCTATTTAGAATTCTCAAATGCTATCTAATGTTTCTCACATGTTTGAGGTTGTTTTTTTTGTATATCCCACTTTTCAAAGGCAATTTCCTCCTTATGGGTGCGTGTTGTTGTTGCCCTTGATCACCAAACAGCCTCAAACATTCACTGATCTACTAATATATATGATCTACTTTATTCTATATAAAAGCAGAATGAGAAATCAGTGCAAAATTGAGGTCAATTTTGCTGCCAAAAATCAGCAAATCAATGGCTGAAGTTAATTGGAAACACGTGTCTAACATCCTACCATTTTGTAAAGCCCATTGATCACAATGTGCCCTGCCATATACAAAAATACAAAAATAAACTGTTGGTTGACAAATACTACCAGTATAAATTACTGCTCAACATTCTTGCAGAAAAAATATACTCCTTCTGTCCAAGATTAAAGTTCCCACTCTGACTTGGCACGGAGTTTAATAAAACTTAAAATTTGCTTTGACTTTCCCAAAATACCCTCCACCTTAGCCTACTTACCCTTCCATACTGCTGCCCAACCACTCCCCCTCCCCCATCATTCCAGAAGAGAAGACCAGAACCAGCCACCAGAGCAAAACTCTGGCGACGAAATTGATCATACTTCCAGGGAGAGAAATTTCCCCTCAATGAGTGGAAGGAAAAGAAAATGAGAAGACAAAATGTACCAAGTGGAGGGAAAATCAAATGAGAAAAAGTCATTTTTTTTTATTTTTTCTTCTAATTCCCTGAACCAAACATAATGTAAAGTTTCCCAAATATGAAATTTGAGTCAAATTCGAATTTGAAATCTAAATCGATGTTCCTAAGCGTACCATTACGTAATTTTATATTCGCAGGAATCCAAATTGAAGGAGCAAGTATTACATTCAAGACCTAATGAAGATTGATTTTGAAGATTGATTTTTAATTCTATTGTAAATTAAAAGAATACAGTAAATTTTTTGCAAACATTTATGACCGTAACAACAGTTTGGTAAACCAAATATGGTAGATTAAAAAAAATTGCCGATGCTACAAAATGAGTTGTCTACCTCATAATTTGAGTTATGACTTATGACTTATGAGAGGTGCTTTTATAATTTATTTCATAAAATAGAGTTATAAAGAATGAAATTAAACTTCACATATCATTTTCAACAAAAGGAAAGCCTATTAAAATCAAATAAAAATCACCTTAGCTTGAAAAGAGGTGTGGGATTACTCTAAATATATACTCCACCTCTCCGTCCCATATTGGATATCACACTCCAATCAACGTGCAAAATCTCATCATTTTTAAAATAAACCATTATTTTATTTTATTTTAAATTTTGACGTAATTTTTAGGTATAAAAATCAATATAAAGAGTTAAAAAATGCATAATTGTTTGGAAAAAATAAGATAATTATGCAATATCATTAAAATTTTGACTGAAAGTATAAATTTATGCACGAAAATTGAGTAGTAAGAAAAAAAATATAATTATAACTTTACTTCTATAACATTATATTTCATAGTTAAATATATGATTTTGAAAAAACTCTTACATTAACGGGTCGGTCAGGTCGGGTTCGGGTTCAGTTGGGTTCAACCATTTTTAGCGGGTCATTTCGGGTTCGTTCAACTTCGGGTTCGATCAACAAAACCTTTGTTCGAAATCTAGTGTTTTCGGGTCGGGTTTCAAGTCAAAAACAGGACGAATCATTTTTTGCCAGGTCTAATGACTAAGATATCTGTGTCAATTCCTTAGTAACACGGCTGCTGTTTATTTGGAGATGGGGAAGGTATAAATGCCTCTTCCCTTTACCTTTCTATCACTGATTTGTTTGTTGAAAAAATTGTACTATATAGGACTAAAACATAAGTTATTTTTTAATGTAGGACTTAAACTTTTTTATTCTCTAAATAGGACTTAATAATGTCTAGCGGGAGGAATAATGTCCAGTGATGGTGGACATTTACTTGAATAATGACTAATAGATAATGACCAATAGTCCTACATTAGGAAATAAAAATATATGGTCCTATATTGAGAAAGTCATTATGTTTTAGTCCTATTTAGATAAATTCCCCTCGTTTGTTTTGTTCTATTATGTGTGGCAGTAGCTTTTGCATTTCCTTTCTGCTATTGCTCAAGGCTTTTGCCTAGTTTCTCTGAACTAAACAAAGCATGTTTTGTTTGTTTAAGAACTACCAAGGGCCTCTTCTTTTCCCCTTAACTGGAATTTAAAGTTGAAAAGAACAAGAAAAAGTTTGGAAAGAACAGGGCCTAGCAGTAGTGTTTGACACCAGTGCCAAATATGTTTACCTCCATCTTATACACTCTCATTTTCTTTGTCTCATTGATACGGAGTATTATTTTATACGGAGTATAATTTTGAGCGAGACAGGAGTAAGAATGAAATGTCCACTTCTCTCTTTATTCATTCTGTTCCATAAAACTCTATCCCTTTCGTTTTTCCAATTCTCTAAAGCACTTCTACTTTCTATTAAAAAACCACTTTTACTCCTACTTTTTCATATCCTACCTATCACATCATACTTTTTCACTAATAACCAAACTATCGCATCTTACTTTTACCCGTCACATGAGGGGTAAAATTGAAAAGTCAACCAAAATTATACTTTTCTTATTTTGGCCCAAAGTCAAAATGAGAAGAGTTTAAAGGAACGGAGGGAGTACAAGTTAGTGAAGACTTGTTTCATTTTAGCACCCCCGCCCCCATTTTTATTACTTCATCTATTCCCAATGTAACTGCTTGTTTATTATTGAGTAAATTCCATAATTGGTCCTTTATAACAGGGGGGTTTCCATATTTAGTCCTTTATTATCAAATATTACTCATGTAGTCCTTTTTTTAAGGGTACCTTTCCACAAATGGTCCTTTTTTTGATCTTCTGCCGTGTTGGTGTTAATTTAAAGGCTAAAAGTATAATTTGACATCAACATTATGTCTAGTGACGTGTTTGATATTGGTTAAGCGGATAACACAAAAATAATGACTATGATTGTGGGCTAGGATTCTGACGAAAGATCACATTTGTAGACTATCATTGTCGTAAAAAGCGACTGTAATTCACAAACGACGCAAACGGAATAGCCTTTGGAATTGTGTATGACAAAAAAGATATATTGTCATTGTGAAATTACACTTTTAGCCCTCAAATTAACACCAACATGATAGAAGATCAAAAAAAGGACTATTTGTGGAAAGGTACCCATAAAAGAAGGACCACTGAGGTAATATTTGATAATAGAGGACTAAATAGGAAAACCCCCCCTGTTATAAAGAACCAATTATAGAATTTAATCTTTATTATTTAGAGGATCAATTTTTTTAATATAAATCTACTTCCTGTCATCTTTTAATTTGTAAAAATTTTGATGCAGTTTTTAAATATTACTTTCGTTCCAAAAATGTTTGTCACTGTTTGAAAAATATGTAAGCTTTTATCATTTTTAAAATCTTTTTACTTACAAATTCGTATAGAAACAAAAATTGCATTGTTAAAAAATACATCAAAATTTCTACAAAATAATCGGTGACAAAAATATTTTATTTTTTTGAGTGATCAACTAATATCTAGAAATAAATAAAAGTTATCGAAAACCATAATAATAAGAATACATTCTATTTTAAGATGGAATGACTGCGTAATTTTTCTTTTTAAATTCTACCCCAATTTTAAATTTTAAACTAATTTAAATTGAAAAATAACATCAGCTCCGCATCTCTTTTGGCTTGAGTAATAGGAAGCCCACCCCAAAGATTAATGGAGAAGTTCACCCAAATTTGAGTTCCAGCAGAGTCGGATACATTGACTTGTTCTGCTTCATTAAATTGAAAAAGCATAGACGAATACTATATTATAATCGATACAATAACATTTAAAAAAAGAAGAGAAAGTTTCTCAAAATGGTACTCAATAACTGTGTATATTTTTAAATTAGTTTTCAAGATGAACTAATTACTGAGATGATACTCGTCAATTGAAAAAAAATCCTCAATTTAGTTCCCAACTAAAGGCCGTCAAAATGATGTTACAATTCATTCCAATTTCCCAAAATGGTATTTTCTAATTGTATATTTTATTAAATTGCTCCATTTTCGGAATAAAAACTGATTAAGTATGGATTTTTCAAAAAAAATTTGTAGGATTAGAGTATAAAAAAATAAAACTATTAATATAATTTTATAAATTTTAGAGTAAACATTTCGAGTTATTGTTTTGAAAATATTTAATACTCTTTTCGTCCCAAAGTATTATAGTAAGACTCATGTTAATAGAAAATTCTAGAGTAATTTTTTGTTTTATTTATTTGAAAATAAATCCGATCAAACACATTAAATCGAAGCAGGAGTCTTATTTTAGAATAGATGGAATCATTTATCAAATATTTAATTTACATGATATTCATATAAATAATTTTGAACCATTAGAAAATGTTTGTGTTCAACTTTATTAAATTAAATTAAGAGTTTTACTTATCATATTTTCATTCTATAATGTTTAAAATTACTTTTTGATATTCAATGAGCATTTATTTCAAAAAATGGACTAATTTGAATAAACACACAATTAGAAAAAACCATTCTAAAAAACTATTGTAAATTTTAACATTGTTATGCCGACCATTAATGGGAGAACTAAACTGATCATTTTCTCAATTAAAAAAACATATCGATAATAAATTTATTTTTAAGACTGAATTGAGAAAATTTGATGAGTCAAAGTTCTTAGATGAACAGTTCCAAAAATCACAACTAGACAATACTCCGGGACTGAGGGGGAGTAATATTTATTCAAAAAAAATCAGTCAACAAAGCCGAAGGACGAAGCCCAGCGACTCAGCCAGTGAAGCCCAGCGAAAACAGTGCTATGGCAGACGAAGCCAAGGCCAAAGGCAACGCCGCTTACGCCGCCGGTAACTTTTCCGAGGCTATCAAACACTTCACTGAGGCGATTAACTTCGCGCCGACCAACCACGTCCTGTACTCTAACCGGTCCGCCGCCTACGCTTCTCTGAATAAGTTCTCCGACGCCCTCGTCGACGCTCAGAAGTCCGTCGAACTCAAGCCGGACTGGCCCAAGGGGTACTCCCGGCTCGGTGCCGCTCATCTTGGCCTTCACCAGCGCGATGAGGCCGTTTCTGCTTACAAGAAGGGTTTAGAAATCGACCCGAATAACGAGGCATTGAAATCCGGACTTTCTGATGCTCAATCCGCTCAGCCTCGATCTAGGGATTCGTCTACCGGTCCATTTGGAGATGCCTTTTCCGGCCCGGAGATGTGGGCTCGGCTTACCAGCGACCCCAGTACTCGAGGCTACTTGCAGCAGCCAGATTTCGTGAGTATGATGCAGGATCTTCAGAAAGACCCTAACAATTTGAACCTATATTTGAAAGACCCGAGAGTAATGCAGGCTCTTGGGGTGTTGTTGGGCATAAAAATCCAGACGGGTATGCCCGGAGAAGAATTTCCTGATATGAAAGAAAAATCCCCAGAGAGGAAGAGACCAGCTGAAGCCGAGCCTTTGAAGGAGAAGGTCCATGAGCCAGAGCCAGTGGAGTTCTCTGAGGAGGAGAAGGAGATTAAGGAGCGAAAAGCCCAAGCGCAGAAGGAGAAGGAGGCCGGTAATGTGGCATACAAGAAGAAGGATTTCGAATCAGCAATTCAGCACTACAGTAAAGCCATCGAGCTTGATGATGAGGACATTTCTTTCCTTACTAACAGAGCTGCTGTCTATTTGGAGATGGGAAAGGTATAATGCTCCTTCCCTTTCCCTTACTACTTATGGATTTGTTCGTTTGTTCTATTATGTGTGGCAGTAGCTTTTGCATTTCCTTTCTGCTATTGCTCAAGTCTTTTGCCTAGTTTGTCTGAACTAAATAAAGCATGTTTGTTTGTTTGTTTTAGAACTACTAAGGGCCTCTTCTTTTCACCTTAATTGGAATTAAAAGTTGAAAATAACAAGAAAAAGTTTGAAAAGAACAGGGCCTAGCAGTAGCGTTTGACACCAGTGCCAAATGTGTTTACCTCCATCCCATACACTCGCATTTTCCTTGTCTATTTGTTTGTTGGTTTTGCTTTGCGATATTTTTTTTAGTTGAATAAACTTCAGAAGGAAGGTGCTTTGAAGATTCTTGGCATTTATAGTTTATACAAACTTTAATTAGTTTATATGCAGCACCAAAACTTTATCTGTTTATGGTGCTTGAGCAGATGAAAAGTTAGTTCTTTTTCCTTTCATGGAGCATCATGGCTCCTAGTCTTATCCTCTTAGTTATCACATTGGGGTCTCAGTTAGATTTATTAGAGTTGTTGTAGAAATATGAATGTAGTTCTAGGTGCGAAGTGATGTATTTGGGGTTGCATTTTAAGCTCTCATTTTTAATCATGACTTACCCAAGCACAAGTGTTATTTAACCAATGGTTTTGAAAAGCTTTTGAGGTTTATGCCTTGATGGTCGATATGAATGCCTATAAAATTGACTTATGGCTTTCACTTCTCTCTTTATAGATTGCATTCCTTTTCCTTAATGCATTACTCATGCGAGTTGTGTGAGGCTTACACATCTAAATGTTTGCTGAGATGATTAATTTTTATGCAAAACTTGTCTTCTTATTTGTTTGTTCCAATAGCTTTTTCTTTTGTTAATGATTTTGGATAGTTTAGGGTTCATTAGTATCTTGCACCCTCAAAAGATAGAAAATGATTAAAATGCACCCCCAATTATTAAAAATATCAAAATGCACCTTGAGAAGTTTAATATTGTTTCATTTACATTTTCTTTCAACTTGTCAACTTAAAAAAAAACTCCTATAGAAAAACTTTTTTTGTACAATCAAAATTTACTACCAACTTTTTGCCTTTTGAAAATTTCTTTTTGACATTTTGTTGAATTTTTTATAGAAAATTTCTGTTTGACTTCAATACATTTGTTAAATTTAGATTTGACCAAAATTACATGTTTAAAAATCTAAAATTTGAATATAAATTTGCGCCAAATTTCTCTAAATCACAACGAAATTCTTTCATTTTCTTTTCCTACCACTTTTCTTTTCCTTTTCTCTTTAACCGAACAAGAATTTCTTTTCCATATCATTTTCTTTTCTTCTCTTTCAAGTTCCCTGAACCAAACATAGTGTAGATGTTTGTTCTAGCATTTATTCTCTATGGCTCGAGTCAGTTATTCTTCTTTTCATGGCTAAATGATTCGGTAGCGTCAATCAAATGTATCAACAAAGTTTTATAATCATCAATGGCATGTTCACCCTTGATTTACCATTGATGGGTTGACTATATATGAATATTTGAATGCTTTATGAATTTAAGAACTCTTATGTATACCTATACTGCATCCGTCCCATTATTTTTGAGATATGGGACATTGGCACAACACATAACAACAAGAAAACCAGTAAAATCTCATAAAGTGGGGTCTGAAGAGGGTGGGTGTAGCAGAACTTACTCCTGCCCAAAGAGTAGAAAGGTTGTTTCCAAGACACCACCGGCTCAAAACACAAACGAAACTAGAAGGAAAAAACAATGAAAAATAAAGAGATACGTAAACATGGCATAGTAGCTCACAATTTTTTTTAAAAAAATTGAATGGTTTGTGGTTGATATTAAATTGTGTAGTATAAATTGTTTTGAGCCACAAGATCCATACCAAATATTGTATGAGAAAAAATATTTGGACAGAAGAAAATGGAAAAGAGACGAAAATAGCCAGACAAAGGGAGCAATTGTTATAATGGGCTACTACTAAGTTACATTTAACTATGAATTTAATTTTCTGATTTGACGTATTTAAAAGAATTATTAGAATATTTTAATGAATTAAAGAATTCTGTTATACATGACTTTAGTGCAAAGACTGCATCAATGATTGTGACAAAGCTATTGAACGGGGAAGAGAGCTCAGGTCTGACTACAAGATGGTTGCAAGGGCTTTGACACGGAAGGGTAATGCACTGACAAAGATGGCAAAGTGTTCAAAGGATTACGACCTAGCTATTGAGATGTATCACAAAGCTCTCACTGAACATCGTAATCCAGAGACATTGAAGAAGCTTAATGATGCTGAGAAGGCAAAAAAAGAATTAGAGCAACAAGAGTATTTTGATCCACAATTAGCAGATGAGGAGCGTGAGAAAGGTACTTGGTTTATCCACAGGCATTTCTGGTTGGTTTACTTTCTAGGGCTAGTATTACTATGGAGTAGCATTTTCTCAATTGTTTGTGATTCAGGCAACCAGTTGTTCAAAGAGCAGAAGTACCCTGATGCTATCAAGCACTACAACGAGTCCATAAAAAGGAATCCAAACAATCCTCTGGTATTGCCATGCTATTCTGGGTTCTTTATGTGTCATTGATGGGACGAATATTTGCTGGATTTGGTTATTCGTAGTGGCATATTTTTTATTGACTAATTTCCATTTTCCTCCATGGCATAGGCTTACAGCAACAGAGCAGCAAGCTACACTAAACTTGGGGCCTTACCTGAGGGGCTTAAAGATGCTGAAAAGTGCATTGAACTTGATCCCACATTTGCAAAAGGGTACACTAGAAAAGGTGCTGTTCAGTTCTTCATGAAGGAATATGAAAAAGCTTTGGAAACTTATCAGGAGGGTTTGAAGCACGACCCTAAAAATCCGGAATTGCTTGATGGCATTAGGAGGTACTTGGAGAAGGATCTAGAAACATCTTTGTCTCTTTTTTGCCTTCGTAACATAAATAGTTCCTTGTAGTATGTTACAGTGGGAGTATTGCTGAATTGCAGATGTGTAGAACAAATAAATAAGGCGTCTCGTGGGGATCTAACACCGGAAGAGTTGAAGGAAAGACAGGTTCAGTTTTTTTCTAGTGTTACCTTTACCCACGTCAACGCGTTTGAATAAAAGTGTATTACAAGTGTACAACTAACCAAATCAAATCAAACTAAACAAACCCAGCATATCCCACTTTGGAAGCAAAAGGTATGCATACCTTACCTCTACTCGTAGAGTTGAGAGGCTGCTTTCAAATTGGCAGGTAGTGTACAACAACATACCCAGTATTGTTCCAACTCTGTTGGGTGGTTGCAGTTGCTTGATTTTTGATGGAGTAAGCTTGTAAATAACTTTCGTAAAAAAAGTTCAAGTTTTTTTTTGGTTCGGGTCATCTTTGTCTCATGATCACTTTGGGTTAATGTCTTTTCGGGGTCGCTTCAAGTCTGATTTCGGGTATTTTGGGTTGATCCATTTGGGTCGAGTGAGCGGGAAAAACACACTCACAATGTGAGCACATAGTACCCAACCCCCACACAAGTGTACCTCCGCAACCCTCATAAGGCATTTCCAGGAACATTTCCAAGAGGTTTCTTGTATTATAGCAACACTAATATTAAACCTGATGCAGGCTAAGGGGATGCAGGATCCAGAAATCCAGAACATCCTTTCAGACCCTGTGATGAGACAGGTGAGATCATATGAATGTTTCTTTGTGCGAGAATTTTTAGACCATAGAAATCACCGAATTCTGGTTGTTTATTGGAGTTTTTTTGCATAATCTGAACAGGTACTCGTCGACTTCCAAGAAAATCCGGTAGCAGCACAGGAACACCTGAAGAACCCTGTTGTGAAGAACAAGATCCAGAAACTGGTCAGTGCAGGAATCGTTCAAGTCCGATAAACAATTCAGATCCTTCGAGGCAAGTTTTCAAACTGTATTTTGCTCCTACGACGTGATGCGATGTGTCTTTAATGTATTATTTGATTTATTTCTCCTCTATTCAGTATTCTGAACTGGTAAGTACTGTTTTCACATTGGATTGAATGACGTATATACGTTTTTTTCTTCATCATTGTTTTTCCGGAAAAGAAAATTTCTTTCTCTATCCCATTTTTTAAAGACATTTTCCAAACAACCTCAAACATTCTCATTCTTGACTTTTAAGAAAAAAATAAATACACACATTGTTCTCAACCAACTTCAACACACGAATCGATTCTCTAAAGCTTAGGGTTCCAAAATTGCAAGAATTCATATTTAAAATGGATTCACCTGCGATGTGTTGTCGTTTAAATAGAATTCTGCTTAGTTTTTACATATATGATATAGTCTTTGCCCTTTTTCATTTTCATTCTTGACTTCTTTGTTCTATCATAAACTTATCTTTCTTCTTTGCTTATATGCTTTCGTCCTAAAAAATTTGGTTATCATGGCGGCACTTGGATAGTTCATAAACTTCTACTACGGATACTTTTTCACTACTCATTCCGACTGAGAAAAAAGAAAGAACCAATCTATTACAATATACTAGCATTTTTCCCCGTGCATTCAACATGACAAGTTCTTAAAATATTTTGAATACAAAGTAAATGCAAGCTATTTTAAAGAAATTAAATATAGCTTTGGACTGATTACTCTGGATATCTTCAGGTATAGGTCTTCATAAATAAACATAGGATGACACAAAAAAATCAACAATTTTTTAAGATTGCACCTTGCATATATCACTTGTTAGTGTAACTAACAATCAAGGAAAACCTTCTTTTACTATGAAAATACCAAACCTTATAGTTTTCCATGAAACCATTCTTCCTACATGGACACTTTGCCATTTGTTGGTTATTTGAAAATGTGACTTTAATGGACTTCCTTTCATACCATATGTTTTCTATCATTAGTCTTCCCATTCATTATAGTCTTTTTGACATTTAAGAGCTAACCTACAATAGTCTAAACTAAAGTATTCATGTTGTGTGAATTGAGTTCATTAAATAATAGTCTATACTAAAAAGTATTCACATTGTGTGAATGACTTCATTAAATACTAGTCTAAACTAAGGGGCTGTTTGTTTCAGCCTCTTAATGGTTCAGATGTCTGAATGGTTCTGCACTTAATGGTTCAGACTGTTTGTTTCAGGCTCTTAATGGTTCAGATGTCTGAATGATTAAGAGATTTGCCTCTGAATGGTTAAGTATTATACAGAGTCTGAATGGTTAAGACTTCTTATCTGAATTGATCAGACATTTGCCTCTGAATAGTTAAGCAATATACTACTCCCTCCGTTTCTTAAAACCCTTCTTCTTTCATTTTTTTGTTTTTCTTAAAACACTTCCCCTTTCTATTAAAAAACCACTTTTACCCCTACTTTTTCATACCCTACCTATCACATCATACTTTTTCACTAACAACTAAACTATCACATCTTACTTTTACCCATCACATCAAGGGCAAAATTGGAAAGTTAACTACAATTTAACACTTCCTTATTTTCCCCCAAAGTCAAAAGAGGAACTCTTTTGAGAAACGGAGGTAGTAGCTCTTAATGGTTCAGACCTCTTACTGGTTCAGCACTTAATGGTTCAGACCTCTTACTGGTTCAGCACTTACCTATTCAGAAGTTGCCAAACGGCCCCTAAATATTTGCAAATATAATATAATATTCATAACAAATACTCCTGTCTAAAAATTTCTTTCCTTGGTTGACCTGGCATGGAGATCAAGAAAAATAAAAAATTGTAAAAACTTTCCATTTTTATCCTTGATGTGATGGCAACATAGGAAACTAGAAAGATTTTTTTGGACAATCTAAAAAGAAAAGTAAGAAAGAAATTAATGGACTGAGGGACTATGGGTATAAAATTACACACTCACAAGGATATTGACATTGAATATCTTTGAGGATTAATGCTATCCAAGGAATTGTACATCTTTAATTCCAAAATATCATTGCATGTTAATTCATATATTTATCAATTACATTTTTCATTAAACTCTTGATGAATAGGATATACTCACACACGTACACACACTCAATGTTTTGAAAATGTATAGATAAATTAAGTTAAAATAATCTCAACCAAACATTATAAGACGAATAAAAATATCAATATAACACTACGGAGTAATACATTTGAATAGTTATTTCTACACTTTAAGTAATAGGTAAGTAGTAGGTACACGATAATTAAAAATTCAATAGTGTATAAAATTACATATATACCTGAGAATGAAAAGAAAGAAAGAATGATTAAATGTATTTCAAATTGGTGTGAAAAGAATGATCATTAATTACACGATAATTAAATAATAATCATATTCATTACAATATTTCAAATTGGTATGAAAAGAAAGAAGATGAATACTAAATGTTGCAAGAAAAGTATATTATTAATGTATGACAGGAGGAAAGAATTACTTGTGATCACAATTCAAGGATGAGACTGTATTATTTAATATTCGTTTGGATTTGGGCGAGTTGGAGGGTTGTTTCGTCCACCCAGACTTTGATTTCTTTATTAAAACACGCTCTTTTTAAAAAAAAATACATAAAAATATATCCTTCTCTATATTTGTCTAATTGTGTACACATATATCTGGAAATTAGTCTATATGCTTATTCTTTGGGATGGAACATTTTAGAGATGACAATGTATGATGTATCCCCCTTTTCTTATTCTCGTCCCATTTTAGCATACATTCTTGTAAAGTTTATGCTCTTTATATTTACGCGCTTAAAGTCCCAACATTAATCACATTCATAACTTAACAATGTTAATTTTTTGTTTTTGTTTTCATGAAAAAGACTTCACATTAACAATATCATCAATGTACAAAAACTTGAAACACAACATTTTTATCGATAAAACATACATGCACGAGTATAATATTATGGTTTAATCTTACACAACATTCTTAATTAAGATCGACACCAAAAGAATCCTTAAACACATAGCAACATTTTACACAAAGGAAACAATTCCTCTCCCACAAGAGACTCTTCACTTTAGTGTAATAAAGACAAACACACAAACACACTATAACAACACTCAAATTAATTAACACACATACATATAGTTTAGAAGCAAAAAAAGCCATATACATATATTTATAATCATCAAGGCAAGTTGTTATAGTAGTTATAGAGTTGGTGATCCTTGATGCTCAATTTCTTTTGAACTCCCTCACCGAACTTGTTAACCAACGCAAGTGCAACGGTAGTGAGTTGTGTCACTTTACTTACTCTTTCTTCCATCTCCACCTTTGTTTCTCCGTCTAACCCATCCAGGCAAGTGTCTGGGTCGGTTATCGCGGCGCTAAGCCATGTCTGCACGTTGCCTATGTGCTCCAAGAACTTTGTTTGGTTGCCCGTGTTGGCAATCGCGAGCTCTTTCGCGGTTGGTTTTAAACTATTGCACAAGTCGGACATTAGCTCATGGCAATCCCCCAGGGCTACGTTCTCCCTTTTACCTAGTGTTTCAGACGCCCTTTTTGCCCTTATCTTGCCCAGGATGTCGTCCCTAGCGGATCGAGCCTCAGACTTGGTTATGCTCAATGCAACCTGAGCTACCCGCCTGGGGCTCCCTTTGATTAGGATGGCATGAGGAGCGAGACTCTCGTAACACAAAGTGTGATTGATGTCTTTGATACTACATGTGGAGTGGACAAAATTTAATAAGGAAGCGTAAGAAGGACGCTTCTCCGGCGTCGAAGACAAAGAATCAGCCGCCGACCAGTCGGCGGCTGATAGACAATAACAAGTGAACAAAAGGATTAGGGCCAATGGAAAGGAGTAATGGCTGCCCATTTTTATATTTTTGTGTGTGTGTGAAATGGAACAAGGATTATAAGTTTAGTTCCTATGAGTTAATGGCGTGGAAATTGAGAAGCTTTAAATAGAAATGAAATGGTAACTTGTTATCGTATAGGTGGAGACAAGCTTTCTCTTTATCCCTTATTTTCGCAAACCTTTGGAAAAAGAGGAATTATTTCTTGTTGACTTTTTGACTTGTGATACATTTCTTGTTGAGCAATCGCTACTACGTAATACTTATTCCATCTTAGGTGACATTTTCTTGGTCAAGTTTGTTTTATCTAGTCAAAAATGTTAAAAAACTCCTTGACACCAAGAGTTAGACATCAAGTATTTCACAAAAGTGCATAGACAATAAATGCCCGGCATCACAGACTGTAAATGTCTGTGCGATTACAGGCTGTAAATGTCTGTGCGATTACAGACTGTAAATGTCTGCAATCACATATTGTAAATGTCTGTGCGATCATAAATTGTAAATGTCTGTGCGTTGCAAATAATTATCTATATGTGTTTGTGAAACATTTGATGTCAACCTTCAAATGTCAAAATTGGTGGGTTTCCATGACTATTTCCTCGCTCTTAAACCCTAGGCGACCAACAACTGAACCTGCTCCTTGTACGATATAGCCAAACAAAGAATAGAGCACCGTATCGCAGAGAGGAGAATCGACCCCATTGCTGCCTTTGACTTACCGGCGGCTAGCCACGCGATCGAGCCTCCACACATTAGCGCGTCGGTGACTATCTCTGTAACTTCAATGCCGTTTGTTGACAGAGCAACATCGCTTTCCGTACAATGCCACATCAGCTTTCTCCCTTTCATCCACATTTAAGATTGTGGATCCCCATTCCATCCCTTTTCCTTTTTTCTTTTTTGAATATTACTTTTATAACACATCATTTACTATTTTAATTTAATTTAAAAACCTTTATTAAACATTTCATTTTTAATTAAAAGACTAAAATTAAGAAAAATGATACATAATCAAAATGATACATAATTAATTAAAGAATGGTACATAATTAAAAGCATAAATATAAATGCGAAAAAAATAGGATAAAAAATTACTCGTGATGAATTTCATTACTCGAACACCAAATATCTATCAAATGGTGGGGAGCTGGAAATGCATATTCGGGTTCTGTAACGCCCACCCATGTGACTCTTGTACCGTTGCGTCAACCAGCTTGATATTTCCACCAACGTCATTTAGGTTGTGCTCCCATATTTCATGACCTTCGTTTCGAGTATTATGTTGTGTAACAAAATACAAGCATACATAATGTATCTCAACTTTTTGGTGTGAAAGGACATGTCAGGTTTTGCACAATGAGCCACTGTTGCTTTAGAACACCAAAAAGTCGTTCAACATATATTTTTTCTTGTCGCTTGTTGGTATGTTACGAATTTTCTTCGCTTTGCATCTTCAGGGTACGGTAGGATACATACTGTCACCAGGGTGGTACCGTGTTTGTACTCCACCCCGAAATTGTAAATAAAGAGTTGGGTGCAATACCTATATGATGTCAGTGAAAACATTGGAGCAATTAAACGCATTTAAGTTGTTAGTCAACTCTGCAATACCAAAAAATGGATGCCAAACTCAAACATCATGTGACGCCACAACTTCCAGCATTATTGTCGGCAGTGGCGGATTCAGGAATTGAAGAGACTGGGGCGAGACTTCTACCGGGTTTGGGTAGCACCCCTAATTTTTTCCAAAAAAAAATAATGTGCAAAAAAAATACAAGTATTATACTACTTCCTCCGTCCCTAAATAATTTACAATTTTTTCTCTCTCCTCTCGATAACTTTTGTTTGTTTACGCGATTTCACTAAGTATTTGATAAAATAAAATATTCCTGTCACCTCTTGTTTTGTAGAACTTTTGACGTACTTTTTTAATATGTAATTTTTATACCTTATTGATATACCAATTTGTAAATAAAATGATTTCAAAAAGTAGAAAATTTTACTCCGTAACCCGCAATTTGTAATCAAATTGAGGACGGAGGGAGTATTATTAATGATAAAAATAGAAATCATATTAAAATGTACAGTATACATTAAAAAGTTGCAAAAAACCATGGAGTACACACTACTCAGTAGTTTTTACTTTTTAACACAACTGATTCTTAAAATTTGACAAATTGAAAACTTGGATCTAAAAGTCCTAATCAAACTTTCAAAAAGAGAAGGAAAGCCTCTTACTCAACTAGTTAACTCTCAATTTGTGGTCCGTGGACTGTGGATTGCGATTCTAGACTGAAATTACTCCGTATAAGATTTCTAGTTTTCTAGTGGGGGCAAGTATATATTTTATTGGGGGCAATATTAGATTTTTAAAAAAATTAGGGGTAATAATTTAAAAAATTCAAAGTTGACTGGGGGCATGTGCCCCCACTGCCAAAACACTACATCCGCCTCTGATTGTCGGGTGTCCGTGACCACTGCGTGCAAACTGACCACGCCACGCATTCGGGGAATTACACCATGCCCAATGAGTACAGTCAATACCGCCTAACATTTCTGAGAATCGGTATCTCACATTGTGGCGACATATAAACTTTCAACGTCTATGCAAATACTGTGTGTTGTATACTGCGACAACACTCTTGCAAAACTTGTACCAACATTCTCGGAATGTTTCATTTGACATCTGTAGGTCCTCATCCCACGCCTCACAAGTTGTGGCGTATGTTAGTTGCCTTATCGCCAAACGCCACACTATGTAGCCTAGGGGTTTTTTTTTGTTCTTTTTGCATTTGTAAATTCCATTTACTTTTTAAAATTATTGGCTTCAATTTATTATTCTTCTATTCTGTTGGTTGTATTGAAGATTTGTTGATTAAGAGGTCACGAACTCAAAACTTACTGTCACTCAATTTTTAAAAAAATTTATACTCCCTCCGTCCCTGAGTATTTGTCAACTTTCAACTTTTTCGATAAACTTTGACCTTAAATTATATAAAAATGATATTAGATATTGATACAAAAATAGTTTTATTAGATTTATTATATCAATTATTTTCAAAGTATTATTTTATCTAATTGATATACAATATATATTATATTAAATTATAGGTCAAATGTTGAAAACAATTAACTAAAAAAAGTCAAAACTGGACAAATACTTAAGGATGTAGATAATAGTTTTTTGTACAAGACTCGAATGGACCATGCCTACACGTGAAAGATTGTGTTAGAACCAGTTTGAAAAAGCCCAATTTAGAGCATCTCCGTTGGTGATATGTTTAAAAGGTGTTTAAAATTATGGATGGATGGAAGATGTCATTTTATGGATTGTGAGTGCTTGATTAGATGGTGAGAGAGGGTTAAACATCCATTCCATTGGATGCATTTAAATGTGTGGCTTATAAATGTTAATATTTATTATATTTATTTAAAATATTGAATTTGTAAGATTTATTTTCAAAATATTTAATTATATTATGTAATTAAAAAATTTAATTTTTAATATTTAATTTCAAAATATTTAAATATTTTATTAAATTAAAATACTCTTGTAATTTTCTTCTCTAATTTTATTCTTCTAAATATAAATTCATATAATTTCTAAATATTTAATTTGATATTTTTCATGTTATTTTTATTTAAATTAAATAATAAAATAAAGTAAATTGGGATACTTAAATAACTAATTAATCAGATGGATGGATAAAATGGATTGTGAGTATTTGTTTAAAAATTAAGGTATTTAAAAATGAATGATGTGGTGATGATGTGGATGACCTAGAATGAATGAATGATTGGATGAATGAATTTTAATATATGGGAATAATGGGATGAAGATGCTCTTAGGTCCACAACTACGAGTTTAAATTTTTAATTGAGTTAGTTTATTGGCAATAAGATCCCAAATGAGAAAGTACATCGAATAGAATGGGTTCTATTCCTACGGTTTGGTTTTTACCCAAACCCAATGAGGGAATCAGAGAGAAATTTGTGGTTCCATTCTGTTTTGTACAATAAATATACAAACCATTGGTTGTTTGGTTGGTTTTTTGCGTTTTTGAGTTTCATTTTTTATTTTATTTTTGATGGTTTCAAAAACAATACTCTATTGATCAATTATTTAACCTCCGTAGAAAAACAAAAACCAAATCATGTGTACCCGACGATCCTGTAAACATAGTAGTGAGGGGTGTGACCATGATTCTTCCGCGGATCGAGTTCCCATTTAGGGTGTAGTCTTATGATGGCAGAAGTGAGATTGGATGCTCAGCAGAGAGTGGTAGAGGAGAGGCGTGATTGAAGTGTAACCTTTGTCTAATGGTCTCTTTATATATATACACCCAAGGGATATACACCCAATTAAGTTGTAAGGATAGCTACTCCATCGAATAATTTTTAATTAAACATATACGAAATACTCTCTCTACCCTCCATAGATCTTTTCAGGCTAGATACTATTTGCAGGGTTAAACTTAACTCATTTTGTTTGCCTGTTTTTCACTTCTCATTTCATAAAATAATATAGTTTTGTTGTCTCTTGTTATTTTAGAACTTTTCATGTAATTTTTTACAATATTAATTTTATTTTTAAATTTTATATCTAAAATAAAATAAATTGAATTAAAAATAAAATAAAAATGGATTTATAAGGGATGGTGAGAGTATGGTTGATATAGAATAAAGCTACTTGTACACCAAGAGGGCACTTGGGTATTCACCTAGCATGGTTGGTGTACTACAAAGATTATACTAGAAAATATATCTCAAAAGTTCAGACTTACACTTTGATGACTTACATTAAAACAAAATGTCATTGTGAATGCAAAATTTTCTACTGATATTTTGTGTAAATGTAAGTTATCAATTCCGCACTAGATTTTAAAGCGTACAAAATAGAGACTAGATTGCAAGTGCAACAACGTGACACTTACTTTGTTTAGTGCATGATTCGAAGGATCTGTAAGCTAGATTTTCAAAGACGACCCTTGAAAACGAGAATCTTTCACACTTTCGTCTCAACTTTCGGCCAATTCATGAAATTTCTTAATACGTATTACATTGATATTTTTTCAATACTACTCTTAGAGTGTCATCCTACATCGAAAATTCAAGAGTAAAATAATTGGTATATAAGCTCTTGAGTTGAACTAATTAATCGATTATATTCAATCTTTTAATGTGATTCAGCTCAAGTGTCTTATTGCCCAATCTAATGATCCACACCCAATCCTAAATCTATCAACTATTGTATGTATTTATTTAGTTTATTACTCCCTCCGTTCCCCTAAGATGTTCTCATTTTGACTTTTGATGGTTTTTAAGGAGAGTTGAAAAAAGGTGAAAGTTTACCATAATACCCTTAATGAAAATGGGTGGAGTGTATTAAATGAGGTGGGTGGGGTGTAATAAATAAAGTAAGTGGGGATACTTGTGGTATTTTAATTGTTAAAAAATGAAATGAGAAGATCTATTATGGACAAAGAAAAAGGGCTATTCGGAAGATCTATGGGGGATGGAGGGAGTACTATTTTGATTAATTTTACTTCCTCTCTCCGTTCAAAAAAGAATTCCTATTTTGACCAAGTATAAAATAAGGAAGTGTTAAATTGTAGTTGACTTCCAATTTTGCCCTTGATGTGATGACTAAAAATAGCATGTGATGGATAGATTATTAGAGAAAAAGTATGATGTGATAGGTAGGATATGAAAAAGTGAGGGTAAAAGTAATTTTCTGATAAAAAGTGGAAGTGTTTTGTTAGAAGTGAAAAAATGAAAAGGAAAATGTTGTTTAGAACGACGGAGCGCATTTTGGTATGGACTTAACGCCCATGATAGAAGCACTAGAATCCCTTGTTGTTAGAAGGTACATCCAATGTGACTTTTTTGTGTGTATGTTTTTCTAAAATACTCTTAT